TACAAGTCTATTAACATGCATGGGGGAAATCACAGAGTGATAACCCCAATCCCACAATGGGTTACAAAAGCTTATACGCCATCTCCAGGTTACAGAAAGAATGGGGGCTCAGAGTATAGCCAAAAATGGATTATGGTGCTAAGTCAGGTTAGAGCAGCAAGACAGATTATGGAAGAGAAAGAAAAGGAGGCTTAGCTAGCAACAGCAATGCTGTTATGTAGATGTAACTTCTCCGGTAGTAGCCTTCAGAGAGACAGATGGTAAATGTTTCTTTCAGACCATTAAAGTGTCAGACTCTCAGTCTTTCCTAGATCAGACAAGGGAAGACCCTCGGAGAATGCGGGGCTTTATCAATGTAGACTTTTTCTACAAAGGCTAATCTCTCCCACAAAAGACAGCTTTTTAGCTATTATTTTATTTCCAGCCTTTCTAAATAGTCATCTTGAACAATGTCAAGAAAATATATTTTGGGGTGAAATATTTTCATTTCCTTCAAGATCACAAAACCACCTCAAATAACAACTCACTGATAGAACCGCAGATGGTAACACCAAAAATTTTTCTGATGTACCTGCCATCAGAAGGAATCAAGGAAGTCCTATATTCTAGGCCAATGTTCCTCAGCCTTTTTTAATGATTGCTTCCCTAAGAATTCATTTCAGATATTTTTGCCTAATTCCCTCCCCCTTGACATCTTAATGTCACAGCTATACTGGCACATGTGCTGTCTGCATATCCATGCATCATATATTTTAAAAGATATTTTTATCCCTCAATCACCAGTTTTTGCCTCCACTGAGAGAATGCATATTCTAGACCCAGATCTACCATTTACCTTGCCATGTTTTTGATATAGTTGTATATTTGTCCCCACCCAAATCTCACGTTGAAATGTAATCCCCGTTATTGGAGGGGGTGCCTGAAAAGATGTGAGTGGATCATGGGAGTGGATTTCTCATGAATGGTTTAGCACCATCCCCTTGGTGCTGTCCATGAGATAGTGAGTTCTCAGGAGATCTGGTCATTTAAAAGTGTGTGGCCCCTGCTGACAACTGTCTCTCTCTTGTTCCTCCTTCTGCTATGTGCTGTACCTGCCCCTCTTTGCCTTCTGCCATGATAGGAAGCTTCCTGAGGCCTCCCCAGAAGCAGATGTCACTATGCTTCCTATATAGCCTGCAGAACCATGAGCCAATTAAACCTCTTTTAAAATACCCAGCCTGGGGTATTTCTTTATAGCAGTGTAAGAACAATCTAACACATTTTTCTTAAGAAAAGCTACTGTAATTTCTGAATGTTGGTTTCCTCTTGAAAACCTGAGCAGAAAGCATGACATTATTCTCAATTTTCTGCCAACATCTGACCCTCCACAGATACTACCCCATTAATGACCTTGTCCTTCGGCCCACTTACAGCATTTAGTTGTATATATGTGAGGGGTATATATTGGGAAATTGTCAGTTAGGTGAATGCAAAATTGAGCTACATTTTTCTTTAAACTGCCATGGATGTTACTTCAATGCCCCAGACAGTTTAGAGCAGACAGCCTATTTATTCCATTCTACAAGCTCAGAACAGTCTGACAATTTATCTGTCAGTTTCAGGATTTATCACCATCAGTCACATTGGAGTTCAAAGCTTTTTCTTTTATCCTGGGCCCTACCTGGATTAGAAACATTTACATTAAACAGGAGGGGAACAGTGTAGGTTCTCTGTCCCTCCACTCTACCTCTTGGTCAGTGCATTGTCATGCAGCTGCTGTTGAGCAGAATCTAGACGGAGCAGTCCCCATGGCTTCACTGTCTTTCTGTGGCTGGCAGGATATAATGGTTGAGGTGGGCACAGTTTGATCTTTCACCCAGGCAGAGTCAGATGGCTCTGCCTTGTTGTACACTAAATGGTCTGTTGGTGCCCATCTGGGCATCTCACCCACACATACTTCTAGTGTCACCTCACTACTGAGCAGCATCATGAAGGGTGCAGACAAGCAGATGCATGAGCACAACCATGTTCTTGTGTTTATCTAGGCCTTGGGGATTCTAGGGGAAAACAAGACAAAGACAGGGAAGATCTTGTCCCTTTCCCACCTGCTCTGCTGTCTGCCACTTAGCAACCACATGAGAAGTAGGTGTCAGTTGGTCCCTACATTCAGAAACATCTGTCACCTTTCAGGAAGAAGCACCTTCCCTTTGTTGGGAGACTTCACCAGGGAGGGCGGAGGTTAAAGCTCCAGCAAACTCCCTTTCCAACTGTCTTTCACTCACACCACATCTTCTGATGGGAAAGTGTAGTGGGGCAGGGTGAGAGCATTTATTTTAACTGAAAGCAAATAAAATATTTTCTTTTTTTCCTTGGCTCTGAGTTTTCTTCACTATAATGCAGCGCATCCCACTTAGCCAGTAAGTGGAAAATAAGGAACTCAGCAGCAGCCTGCAATAGAAACCCTGACCTAGGCCAGGCATGGTGGCTGACACCTGTAATCCCAGCACTTTGGGAGGCCGAGGCAGGCGGATCACGAGGTCAGGAGATGGAGACTATGCTGGCTAAGACACGAAACCCCTTCTCTACTGAAAATACAAAAAAATTAGCCGTGCATGGTGGCACGAACCTATAGTCCCAGCTCCTCGGGAGGCTGAGACAGGAGAATCGCTTGAACTCGGAAGGCAGAGGTTGCAGTGAGCCAAGATTGAGCTACTGCACTCCAGCCTGGGCAACAGAGTGAGACTCCATCTCAAAATTTTAAAAAGTGACATATATTTAGTATTGGGATTTATGAATCATATCTTTTCCTTTTTATTTACTTATTTATTTTTAAAGACAGGGTCATCCTATGTTGCCCAGGCTGGTCTTAGGCTCCTGGGCTGCCTTCCCAGTAACTGGGACTGAATGCATGTGCCACCATTCCCATTTTGTCCTTTACTCTCTCCTATGCTCTAAGACCTTAGAAGCAGAGAGCGTAACAGTTTAACACTTCAAATTAAGTTTTATGTATGAATTTCCCCTCATTTGTATCTCTCCCTGTATCCTATTGATAAAGTAATGATATAATTATCCACCCAAGTCAGAAGGATTACTCAGGGAGCCTCCCTCATTCTTATCAGCTATATTTGATAGCTCATTCAATCCTGCAAACTACACTTCAGCAATATATGTCATAAACCCCTCTGTGTCTTTCTACTGGCTTAATTCCAGCCTTTATCGCCTTTTGCTTGAACAACTATAATAAATTCCTAATTGGTCTTCTGGTCCATGGAACCTCTCCCTTCCAACACTCACACAAGAGCATATCTTTCCCAACAATGTGACCAGTTTCCTTCCCTGCCTCGAAATATCTGAGGCCTGTGGAAACAGCAATACTTTACTTGAGAAAGGAAAATATGAAATCAGAAATTTTTCTTTCAATATGGAGAAAATAAACTTTAATATGAATCTTGAAGAAATCTTGAGTCATTAATGTCAAGATTTTTTATTCCAGTACTTTGTTGTAAATCCGTTCTCTTTGCTGATAACAGAAGCTCTAGAAAAAAAGACTAGCAGGGAAGGAGCCACACAGAAAACCTATTTTTCTGCTAGCTAATCAAATTGGGCATAGATCAAAAGAAAGATTAAATTGATCATGCTTGATCTGTTCTGTTTAATAAGTGAGATTTCTCTAGTGTTTTCCTGCCATTTTCAGCTTAGAGAGATAAGAATTGTGTTGCTGCCAGACTCTTTTACCATCCATATAGAAAGCAAGTCTTTTGTTAAGGTTTACATGATTAGGAATCATAAATTACAATTAACTACTGCTTAGGAGTTAAAGGTTCATGAATTTTGCATGTTAATCACCTTATCTAAAATAGCATCCCTCCAGAGTTTTACTCTGCTTTTTCTTAGCAGTATTAATAGTTACCACCTACTGGGCATAGTGGCTTATGCCTATAATCCCAGCACTTTGGGAGGCCAAGGCAGGCAGATCACCTGAAGTCAGCAGTTCGAGACCAGGCTGACCAAAACAGCGAGACCGGGTCTCCACTTAAAAATACAAAAACTACCTGGGCGTGGTGGCGTACCCCTGTAATCCCAACTACTCGGGAGGCTGAAGCAGGAGAATCTCTTGAACCCGGGAGGCAGAGGTTGTAGTGAGATCGTGCCACTGCATTCCAGCCTGGATGATAGAGCAAGACTCTGCCTCAAAAAAAAAAAAAAAAAAAAGCTATCACATCGAACGTATTTTTTCTATGTTCTATCTCCACCAAAAAGTAAAACCACAGGGCAAGGACTTTTTTTTGCCAAAATAGTGGTAGCACGTTTGATTCATTTGTATGTATTTCTAGAACAGAGCTTGCTACCAAGTTGAGCCTTCAATATTTGCTGAAACAGGGAGTGAAAAAGAAAAAAAAAAAAAAAAGTAACTCCCTCGCGCGAGAACTAGCTCTTCACCTAACAAATACCGGGCAACAGAAACATCTTGGTCCTCAGAGCAACCCCGGTGCGAAGCAGAGGCGGCTGTAATCAGGCCTATTACAAATGTGCAGGGGAAAGTCACAAAGCAATGAAAAAACAATCTAGAAAAAATCTTTTCTGGATTTCACATCTAACCTTTAGCGTGAGACCCAAACCGGTTGACTCCGGTCAGAAGCAGCCACATTTGGAACAATATTTATCTCACAATAAATTAATGCACAAAAAGGCCTTCGGAAAGAAAAAAATGGGGCAACGAAATAATTTTCAACTCAGGCACTACTTCCTTTCAATTTTTACATAATTCTCATATCTACGGCGAGTGAAAAGGCTAAAAGAAAAGCAAAAGAGAACTCAGCTGTCCAGAACAAAGATGGCCGAGAGGACTTCCTTGCCCACACTCAAAATGGACGGTGACTAAGACGTTCCCAACAACAATCCTTAACTGCCCCGCACCACCAACTCGGAACCCCGCCTCCGCAAACCGGAACCCCGCCTCTCCCACTGTGCCCGCCTTTCAGACAAAGGCCTGCCGGTGATTGGCTGCTCGTACTATTTACCTCATGCAGTACGTCGGAAGAACTGTGCGCGTTCAGGACGTCAGGAGCTTGCGGGGAACCGGGGAGGTGGTGGAGTGCGCGTTTCGCCTGCCCGGAAGGGAAACTGCGCTGCAGAGGTGACGGGGGACCGAGGTACTGCTCCCGCTGGCCGGCGGGTGCCCGGGATCCCGGGTGCTCCTTACAGCTGGCCTCACGGGACCGTTGGGTGCGGCTGGGTAGGGCTGGAAGCGGCGATACTGTTGGCTGCGTCAGGGCCGGCCTGCGCGTCAGTGTCGCAGTCCTGTGGGTGACCTGGTGGAGAGGGCGGCGGCCACAGGTCCGAGTCAGGCGGGCAAGGGCTCACTGTTCCTGTGCTTCTCTCCCGGGCAACAAGGTGCTGAGTCATTTTTGCGGCCAGGCAGTAGCTGCGCTGGTAGCGGCCCCTGGGGCCGGGGTAGACGTGTTTTGCGTTGAGGTGGAGGGTTGCTGCCGGGTTCTCACCGAGTCTAGCGGTCTTGGTGAACTTTCTCGGGGACCAGGCACCCAGACTCACCAATGCGCACAGAGGCCTAAGCCCTTAGGTAAAGGTCGGTAGCATTTTACACATTTGGTATCTGAGTCTTAGAGGGCTACCTCACAAGGTCACTTCTAACGTGTCCGAAGCGGGATTCCCACTCTGGGCTGTTAGGCTGGACCCCTTCGATCCCAGCCAGTGGGCTGAGTACCGAGGAAGTTACAGGACAGTTATAGGTTGAGATGATGTAATGGCACGAAAGTTCCAGAAGCGCTGAGTGTTTTCCCATAGGCCAGCTGCCGAGCATTAAGACCCTTCATAGTTCCATTGCAGAGCTAGGAGGACACTCAGGTATCTTAAAGCAATAGTTCTTAGCTTTTGGAGTGTTCGTCAAAACATATATTTTTGGTCCTATTATTCCTAGAGGTAGAATCAGGAGCAAAGTAAGAACCAGGAGCCTACATATTAAGATGCATCCGGCACTTTCAAGCAGGTAATCCAAAGGTCAACACTGGAGTCGGAACTAAGAACCGTTATCTTATGTTACAGATGGGGAAATGGACCCGGAAGGACAGTCACCTGTCTGAAATTCCACTACATATCGTTGGCAGAGATGGGCTGGTAGCCCCAGTTGGCTTACACTTGTCATGTCATTCTGGCCTATCATAGTCACCTCACATTAATTTAGTATTACAGAAACACGGTCAGCTGACTTCTGGTTAACCACCCATCTAGTATAAGGTGCCCTGGAGCTAAGAGAATCCAGTTTTTAGCATGCTTTTTTTTGAAGACACCATTGAAGGACTGTAAGGGAAACCTGATTGGTAACTGAGTTTACTTTGAAAGACTAAATGTCCTTTACGCATTATAGTAGGGCATATAGAATAGTTTAACTTAGAATATTTTTATGTGTTATGCTGAAGGAAAGTAATATTTGGTATGATTCGCTGAAATTCATATAGTTGGGCTTCTTTAATATCTTTTAGCCTTGTAAGGCAGTATAACCTTGAGGAGCTATTCATGCTTTCTTTGGATGACATTATTCCTCTGCCCAAAAGTTACGTAGATTCTTTAAAGTTACATAGATTCTTTTAAATAATTTTTTTCACTGAATGCTGGTATAAATCTTAATCCAGAACTACATTTGTAGAAGCCGTCACAAACCCTGTAATTACGTTCAGTTATTAATAGCCATTCTGTGTTACACGTAGTTTTTGTAGTCATCTATCCTGTTATTGGTCAAACTGGGACTTAATTTGTTGCTCCATCCCCAGCTGAGTTCTCTGGGATGGGTTTCTTGAATTACAAGGGATGGGCAAAGAATTTATTACTGAAAATTCAAAAGATTGCTTTATTTCCTTTTCTACTAAAACATAATTTGTTCCTTCTTGACTCTGACTCTTGTATGTTCTTCTCTTAATTGGTTAATGGGTTGTTTTGGTTTTTTTTTTTTTTGGTTGTTTTTGCCTTTCTTACTAGCATTTCAGATCTGCTTGGTAGACCTGGTGCAACACCATGCTGGCTGCAAGGCTTGTGTGTCTCCGGACACTACCTTCTAGGGTTTTCCATTCAGCTTTCACCAAGGCCTCACCTGTTGCAAAGAATTCCATCGTGAAGGATTCCATCACGAAGAATCAATGGCTGTTAACACCCAGCAGGGTAAAGATAATCTGAATATTTATTATATTGCTGCCTTTTCTATTTGTGCCCTTTCTTTTTAGCAAAGGATGGCTACTCTGCCTTTAGTGAGTTATGTATCAGTTAGCCCTGATTATGCCCCCAGTCAGCTCTTTCTCCTCATTAGTTTTTATCATTCTGTTCCCTTGTTATCCCATATGAAATAGAAAATGAGTTTCTATAACTCTGCCTTTGCTTACAGCTACTGGAGTTTCTCATTTAGAAAATTTAGAGTACATTGTGGGGGATTGAGAGTTATATGATGTAATGGAGATCCTGGAGCACATAGAGGTTTAAGAACCCAGGGATATTACCACTTGGCCAATAGCTTATTAATAAGTTATTAAAGATATTATATCAGCTCTTATTTCAAGATTGATAATATCTGTCAGGTTAGAAAGAACCCCATCTTCTTTTACAATAGATTTCTCCACTAGCATTTAAATTATAAGATTTGAAGTGTAAGGTAATGAGGACAATATACAGAAGCTAGAACAAGGCTTTTTTAAATTAACTGTTCCACTGTTGAAAAAGAGCCAAAATGGAAGTAGTAGTCTTCGCTTTTCTTAGCTTCATGTTAAGGAAGGATGCCTTTATTGAGTCCATATCCCAGATGACAAAATATAGCTCATAATGCTTATAGAATGCATTTCTTAAAAATGCAAATACATTCTCATCTTGATATTTGATTAGGATTTAAAATATAACATTTCTAGGTATGTAAATCTCTAGTTTGTAAAAGAAACATTTTTTCTGAAATTGAAACTAAGAAGAATATAATGAATTACTTCCAAAGGTGGAACACAGGTAAGATCTACATTTATTTATTTTATTTTTACATTTAAGTTTTTAGGTTGGCTAATAAATTTCCATAGTGAAGTTATGTATATAGAAAGCACCAAAGAGAGCTTGCATTTTATTTTACTAACATTCTATTTTCATGTGGGTGGTATGTGTCTTTGTTTGCATGTATGTCAGGAATATGCAACCAAAACAAGAATTGGGATCCGGCGTGGGAGAACAGGCCAAGAACTCAAAGAGGCAGCATTGGAACCATCAATGGAAAAAATATTTAAAAGTAGGTGGCTGTCTGTAGTTTTTAACCTGGAATCTATGGGTATGAATTAAGAGGTCCATGAACAACTTCCTAAAAATACGTATATTTGTGCATTTTCTGAGAAGGCCATATTATTATTCTCAGAGATCTGATGACCCAGAAAAGATTGGTACTTTGCACTGGATTCAGTGGTTATCAGTCATATTTCTTCCAGTAGAAATTTTACTTTCCTTTTTTTTTTAAAGAAAAGGATTCATTAATATGCCATTGTCCAAAAGGTATAGTCTGTTGAGAAATTTCATTTTAAGTGTATAGAATCCTCATTCAAGCATACATTTGTGTATGTTTCAGATTAAGAATAAATCACCAACATACCATTGTTAATAAAAGCCTAGCTGTCCAAGAAGAGTCCTTTAACTGACTACTCACATAGGGCCTCAGGAGGGCAGTACTTAAATGTGTTGCCAGTTTGGATGTCAACTTTTGCAAGTTCAGAAACTGGATTGTTAATCATCCTAAAGCCAAAGAATACCACTGCTCCTTAACAATCTTGCAAAATGTCTTTACAGTGGGAGAGAGCCCTAATCAGTATCCTTCAGGTCATTTCTTTCTGAATTGACCCTAGAGACCAAATTATGTAGTGACAGCCTAGTAATATTCTTAGTAAACAAATTTAGACAAAGAATAAGATGCTCTTCATGAATACCTCTATTGAGTTAGAATTGATAAGTTAGTTGTGTCTCAGTACCCTAAAACGAAGGCATCCTCTCACTTGATTCTGCTGCATAAACACTGACTATATTTTTTTCTCTTTTTTCTTGATTTCCATGTAAAGCATCATCTGTGTTAATACCATGCAGTGTGGTGTGACTATTAACATTTTCTTCTCGTTTTTTACTTTGTAAGAATGTCATGTGAATATACTTCAACCTCTTATTAATAAAATAATATGTATCACAGAAGTAACACCTCATCTATACATATATTGCCCACTCAAATATTGTTGGAGTGAGTTTGAAGATTTACCAAGTCTGATCCTTTCCTTTTTGTACTGATTATTACACCTTTGTTTCAGGGGTGTTTTTTTCTACTGGTTACCTAACATTGAGGCAACCCCATGTGCACTGATTATGGCTGTTACTGAATATGGTACCTGATTTGATTCCCTTCATAAACATTTTAAAGGCTTTGTCCAGACATGCCAGTATTAACCTGCGTTTCCTTCTGTGTTCTGCAGTTGATCAGATGGGAAGATGGTTTGTTGCTGGAGGAGCTGCTGTTGGTCTTGGAGCATTGTGCTACTATGGCTTGGGAATGTCTAATGAGATTGGAGCTCTTGAAAAGGCTGTGTAAGTAAATTGTTCCTAAACAACTCCAGCCTTAAAACAAAAATTCCAGTTTTCTTCTCATTCCTATCTTTAGTCACTTTGGAATGTTTTGTGTCTAGTCTTTATATCTCTATACACATAAATAGAGAATCTCTACTTGCTTTCTTGACATTTATTCAAATCTTAATAAAAATCATTTAGCAAGGTTATGTTTAAGCAAGGAGAAAATATGTTGCTTATTGTATGCGCCAAGTGCTTATATGTTTTATCTCATTTAATCTTTGCAATAACTCCCAAGTGTGCATAATTATTTCCGTAAGAAATGAAGTAAATAACATTTTAAAGTATAAACTGACTTATCTCAAGGTCACCCAGCTAGTATATGACTCAACCAGATACCAAATCTGTAATTTCATAAATTAACCATATCATGTTTCTTACAGAATTTGGCCTCAGTATGTGAAAGATAGAATTCATTCCACCTATATGTACTTAGCAGGAAGTATTGGTTTAACAGCTTTGTCTGCCATAGCAATAAGCAGAACGCCTGTTCTCATGAACTTTATGATGAAAGGCTCTTGGGT